TCCACACCAGGAGTTCCTGATGGTGGTGTTGGTTATGTGCCGTGGAGTTGGTTCTGACTCATAGCGACCCTGCATAGGGTTTCTGAGGCTATAAATCTTTAGGGGAACAGAAAGTCTTATTTTTCTCCCACAGAACAGCTGGTGGTTTTGAACTGCTGACTGTTGAGGTTAGCAGTCTGACTCATAACCACTATGCTACCAGGAGTCCCTAGGTGGTGTAAATGGTGTGTATTCAACTACTAACCTAAGGAGCTCTGGTAGAGTGGTGGCTACATATTGGACTGCTGACCTCAAGGTCAGCAGTTCAAAACTACCAGCAGTTCCACAGGAGAAAGATGAGACTTTCTGCTCCCGTAAAAATTTACAGTCTCAGAAACCCTATACAGGGTCGCTATGAGTCAGAAATGACTTCACGGCACATCCCCAACACCACTAACCTAAAAGTTGGCAATTCACATCCACCCAGCCTTGTCACAGAAGAAAGACCTGGAGATCTGATTTTGTGATGATTACAGCCAAGAACACCCTATGGAGTAGTTTAAATCTGTAGCTCATGGATAATCGGAATTGGCTGAACAACAATGGGTTTCCCTTTGGTTTTGATCAATATCTATAGATAGAGATTGTGACTCAACTAAGGTCACATAGCGAAAGCTGGGTTTCAAGCCCAGATCTCCTGGCCCTGAGGCCGTATTCTTTTGGCACTCTACTATTTTTGCTTTATAAGCATATGTTGTTCTTGTTATTTGTTGTCAAGTCAGTTCCTACTGACTTGATCCTATATAGGGTTTCTGAGGAGCGGCTGGTGAGTTTGAACCGCCAGTCTTGTGGTCCAGTGCTTATTGTACAGCACCACACTGGGATTCCTTATAGGCCTATATGCCCCAGGAAAGGTGACCCTGAGGGCAGTAGCCTGGAAAGCAGCAGAGGAGGCAAGCAAGGGTTCCCATGTGAGAATAAGGTGCCTTAGGACATTCTCCTACCTTGCCTGCCAGGTTCTTGAGTGTTTGCCATTCTGGAGTTGCCAGTCTCAGCATAGCTGCTGACCTGTCACTGGGTCTTTGAGCAATTGGCTGGTCTGTGCCCTCTCAGGTAAAAGCCCTTTCCTGGTCTGCATGCTATTTTAGGAGCTGCTTTTGTGAAGATTACAGCCAAGAACCGCCCCCCCCCCCCCAAAATCAAGGAAGAAGGTCCAATCTGCTGCTTCTGCCTCTGAGCCCCAATCCCAGTCCTAGACCCAGTGGTTCTGACCCGGTGGGAAGGCAGGGCAGGGCAGGGCAGGAGAGGAGCCAGAAAACAGAGACTATATGGTCAAGGCTGGCTACATATCATTCCACTGGAAACCTTTACTCCTTCCTGAGGTGGCAAGTTTCCCCAAGTTCTCAAGCTACTAACTTTGGCTGCTCCCCTGTGGTTCTGCAGCAAGAGTCCACAGCCACCCTTGGGCCAGGAAGCAGTTCTCGCTGATGCTCCCCATGCCCATTTGGGAACCCTCTGGCGTCTGAAACTCTCCTCTCTTCAGCAACATGAGACCTTGATCCCCCATCATGAAACCTTACACATTCGTCCGGGAGAAGCCCAGGACTGTGTGGAAACAGGGCTCCTTGCAGGCCCTCCAGTAGAGGGAGCAGGGGAGGAGCCTGCCCTGCTGTAAACTGTGCTAGTCTGGAACCTGAAGGACTGGACAGAATTGGAACAGGTTCAAATCAACTGCCAACCCAAACCAAGGCTGTGGCAGGTGTTAGGTCTGGGAAGGCCTCACCTGGAGGACAGCCAGGAGCTGCAGCTCCCTCAAAAGCCCTCCACCTCAAAGGGATTTCCTTGTGGTGGACATGACTCCACCCTACATGGTGGACACTGGCTCTCAGTGATGCTCTACAGATGGGTCCTCGGTCCGGCTCTCAGCCACACTAGTGTGACGTGTCTACTTGGGAGAGGAGGACAGGACACGAGAGTGTTCTCTACTCAGCTGCTGTCCTCAGCTTGCAGCTTGGCTCAGAAGTCGGTGGCTACAGTGCTGGCAGGGCCCAGTATGGGGAAGGAAATGGGGGCAGAGGAAAACCCTGAGGACAATCACATTTATCATTCTGATTCTACTCCCACCTCAATTTAGTCCCACATTTTAGCCCTGTTTCCATCACTTTGTCCCATCCTTACATAATGAAGGAGGCAGTCCCGTTGTTTTGTACTATTTTAGGGGTTACCATGCTCATTTCAACCCACATGAACGGTGTCCCCAGGAGTAGGGCTCTGATGAGGCCCAGGAAGTTGTTGTTATTATGCGCCATGGAGTTGGTTCTGACTCACAGTGACCCTGTACAGGGTTTCTGAGGCTGTAAATCTTTATGGGAACAGAAATCCTCATCTTTCTCCTGTGGAACAGCTGGTAGTTTTGAACTGCTGACCGTGAGGCTAGGAGCCTGATTCATAACCACTATACTACCAGAGCTCCTTGGGGCACAGGAAGACCTTAATTGAAAGTGAATCCTGTGCCAGGCACTTTATACCACCTCTACCCTTCACACCCACCACAGCAAGACCATAAAACAAACCTGCCACCCTCCGGTACACACTGACTTTTTGGGACCCTGTAGAGGGTTTGAGCCACCAACCTTGGGGTAGCAGCCCAGCCCTCATCGCCACTAAGGCTGCTTTACACACCGCCACAGAAGAGGTGGAATAGCAAATCTCTGCATTTCACCGATAAGGGAACTGAGGTGTAGGGAGGTCAAGTGACCTTTCCAAGGTCACACCCATTCAAAATGCCATGGGCCCAACACTGGGACATGTTGCTATTTCCACCTCTCCGTGAGATGACTCTTATAGAATCATACCTCACACTGGTCTAATGCTTTCCAGTTTTCAGAAACTTATTTACACCCATTTGATCCTCACAACCCACCCTCCCACCCCAACCCCAAGTAGGCAGGATGTGAACACCTCCTTCATATTACAGAGCAGGAAGTGAGGTTCAGAGATTTAAAAAAACTTGTCCAAGAACACTCAGCCAGCTGATAAGAAGTTTGGAATCTAGATTGTCTGTTCCCATTTTAGTGACCTCAAAGTAAGTTCCCCAGGGAAGCATTTTAAAAAAATTGTTGATTGAGATCATTGTAGCATCTCATGAAGTTGAAAGATTTAATAATGAAAGATCCCCTGTCTACTTTGCTCAGTTCCCTTTAATGATAACAGTTTTGCAAAACTAGAGTATACACCCAAATCACAATAAAAAGTTTTCTTTAAAAAAACAAACAAACATAGATTAGATGTTTGTTATTAAGTGCTGTTAAGTCATTTCCGACTCAAAGCAACCCGGTATAGTGTTTTTGAGGAGCAGCTAGTGTATTTGAACCACCAACCTTGCAGTTCAAACCAACCTTGCAGGCCAGTGCATTATCCTGCAGCGCCACACCAGGATTCCTTAGATTAGGTGTTTCCTGTTGTTGTGTTAAGTGCTGTGGAGTCAGTTCTGACTCATAGTGACCCTGCATAGGGTTTCCAAGGAGCAGTTGGTGAATTTGAACCACCAACCTTGTGATTAAAACTGACCTTGTAGTACAGTGCTTTATCCCACAGCGCCACACCAGGACTCCAGATTAGATGTTTGTTGTTGTTAAGTGCTGTCGAGTTGGTTCTGACTCATAGCGACTCTGTATAGGGTTTCTGAGGAGTGGCCGGTGAGCTTGAACCACTGGCCTTGCGGTCAAACAGACTTTGCAGTCCAGCGCATTAGTCCACAGAGTCACACCAGGACCAAATTTGTCAATAGTGGTGAAATCATTTGGGTAGAGATATCAAGAATGGTGACAAAATCTGGGAATGCAAACTATGTCCAGGAATATTTATACATGTAGAAATTGTTGAATGGGTATATATTTTCATCAAAAATAAATATGATTTTTAAAAAGAAGAAAAATTATAGTACACTATCACAATCCTGGTGTGGAGCTGTAGAATATACACTAAATTACTAACCGCAAGGTCGGTGGTTCAAACCCACCAGATGCTACTTGGAAACCCTACTGTTGAGTCAGTTCTTAATAACAACAATCACAATCAGAATATTGACACTGATCCATTCCATGATTTTTGTTTCAGATTTCCCCAGTTTTACTTATACTCATGTGTGTGTGTGTTATTAAGTTCTATACTACCTTGTGTTGCCTTTTTATTGCCACACCTCCGTCCCTGCCATCCTCCACACACATCCCTCATCCTTAACCCCTGACAACCACTAATTTCTTCTCCATGCCTGTAACTTTGCCATTTCAAGAATGCTGTATGAATGGCATCATACAGCATCTGACCTTTCGGGATTGACTTTTTTTGCACAGCACCATTCCCTGTTGTGAGTATCAATAGTTTGTCCCTTTGCCTTGCTGAGTATTCCATGGGATGGATGTACCACAGTTAAGGCTCTTTAGCCCCTTCCCCAGGGGAACTTTGAGCAGTGGTGAACTGAACATGTGGAACCAGTATGTGGGACATCATGTAACACTTTGTTCCCCAGAAGATTTCTGTAGACTGGAAAAGTTGAGAAACATTAGAAACATTGTTTTGAGAGCTGGTGTTCTTAACCTGATGCCTGGAAATGCAGACAGTAAACCAGCTCAGGGGAAAGAAGGGAACCCAACATTAGCTGGTTACCCTATTGTTCTTCAGCCAACTCTGCATGTGTGTAAATGTAAAATTATGCTCCATAGGGTTTTTAAGGACTGATTTTCAGATTTAGATCACCAGGACTTTCTTTCACGGCACCTCAGGGTAGACATGAACTTCCAACCTTTTGGTTAGCAACAAACCCGTCTCCTCTTATCCAAGGAGGACGCAGATTCACTAAAGGTCACACAGCTAATTAGGGGCCAGACTAAAGTCACGCCCAGTTCTCTCAAATCTCTTTTCCAATTGTGACTCAGAGCTGTTGACCTAGAGTTGAGGAGGATGGGCTTCCCCTTCCACTCACACTGTCATTTTTTTCTTTCTGGAGGAAGAACGAAACCATGTCTGACACAGAAGACGCGGTGGAAGAGTACGAAGAGTGAGTATGAAGGGTGCTGCCCTTCCCACCCGCTCCTCACACCTGCACCAGGATCCCGTGTGCCTGTTTTCACTCTGACCCCTGGAACACTGGGCACCCCATCCCAGGCAGACCACAGGCTCTTACCTGGCTAGGAGGGTGGCCATTAGCAAAGGAACCCAGGAGCTAGGGCTCCTGAAAATGGATTCAGTGGCTCTCCTGAGACTACAGAACTGGTGGTGCCCCTCAAAAGCCAACTCTGAACTCAATATTATCTCTACATTAGGATAGCCTACTCTCTCTAACTACAGTCCATCCCACTCTTGAGAGAAGCTGGGGGTGGGCACAACTATGGGAGTGCACCAGGGAGGACACAGAGGCTCAGCATGGTCCTACCCTTACACAGCACACCCTCTGCTTGGGATGTGAAGACAACCCGTCTGAGGGAATTAGCACACAGGGCTGCCTTGGAGGGTGGGCTGTCTGCAGTATAGGCTCTCGCTTGTGGGAAAGCTGTGTGGAGACTGCAGGTCTAGAAAGAGAGAAAAGGGAGAGGGAAGGGCTTTCTAGAAAGAGGCATAATCTGGGAACAGACTCAGAGGTGAGAGAAGAATAGTAAGGGGGCAGAAGTCGAAAGTGTCCACTAGGCTGGGACTAGCCTCTGCAAGGAGGTAGCACTGGATAAAGGTGGGCACGTGTACAAGGCACACAGAGGAGTGTGAACATCATGACATAAAGAGGAAAATAAAAATGGGACAATCTGTGCAGAGGCCAGTGTGTGGTGTGTGTGTGTGTTTATGTGGGTGTGTATAGTGTGAGTTTATGGTGTATGTATATATATATGTGTGTGTGTGGTATATGAGTGTATGTTGTATGTATATATGTGGTGTGTGTGTGTAGTATGTAATGTGTGTGGGGTATGTGTGTATAGTGTGAGTCTGTGGTGTATGTATGTGTGTGTGTGCGGTATATGGAGTGTGTGTATGTTGTGTGTGTGGTATGTAGTGTGTGTGTGCTGTGTGTAAGTGTGATGGAATGTGTGTGTGTTGTGCATGTGGTATGGACTACTGATAGCCTTTCCTTTTCTCCTGCAGGGAGCAGGAAGGTAAGTGCACACATTTGTACTCATTTGAATTGAGGACAATGTGGTTTGAAACTGACCCCTCTTCTTCTTTCCTGTCCTGTTGCTGGGGCCTCCTCTTCTGAGCAGAAGAAGCTGCAGAAGGTAAGCATCTTGGGAGGAGGAGGACCAGAAAGGAGAAATGCTAGGAATCCAGTATTCCTGGGAACCCTGGGAAAACAGCTCATCTGCCCTCGCCTCTCACCCACAGTGGAGCAAAGATTCCCCCACAACCAGGACTCCTAAATGGTTGCTCAGGACTAGAGGCAAATGGTTAAACCTGTGTCTTCCGTATGTCAAAAGTTCAAATAGAATCACCACCTTTCCCAATGGATAGTTTTGCTTCTCCACCCTAATTCTTTTTATCATGGAAAGTTTTAGGTGCATATAAAAACACCAAGAATATAATAATGAGCCTCCATGACCCAATCACACAGCTTCAACAATCATCAACCAGTGGCCAAGTTTGCTTCATTTAGACTTCATCTCCCCCAGTTACTGTGGAGCACAGAGCCAAAGCAATCCCCAGACATATCATTCCTATTAAATATTTCAGCGTACCTCTCTAAAAGATAGGATCATAAAAACCATTGCTGTTCATAGTGACCCTAAAGGACAGAGTAGAACTGCCCCAGAGAGTTTCTAAGGCTGTCATCTTCACGGAAGTACATTGTCTCATCTTTCTCCCACAGAGCAGCTGGTGGGTTCAAACTGCCAACGCTTTAGTTAGCAGTCACATACTTAACCGCTACCAGGGATCCTCTTAAAGATAAGCACTATTTTATACAAAAACACACCATAACTCCAATGCCATTATCACAATTACAAATACTCATTTAATAATTTTTCACATTTGATGATGAGCATGAAAGTCCTTAGTAATCTGAGCCATTCTATATTTTGTTGTTGTTATGTGCTGTGGAGTCGGTTCTGACTCATAGCGACCCTGTACAGGGTTTCCGAGGCTGTACATCTTTACAGGAGCAGAAAGCCTCCTCTTTTTCCTGCAGAATAGCTGGTAGTTTCGAACTGCTGATCTTACTGTTCACAGCCCGATTTGTAACCACTACACTACCAGAGCCATTCTATATAGGCATGATGATTTATCATCATTTTGCAAAAGATTCATTTTGATCCTTGGACCCTCAGATGCTGTTTCTACTCCTTGATCTGTTACCACATTTCTTTCCTCAGTTTTGTGTCATGTAGCTTACTGAATGAATATCCTAGCTTGTCCTTCCTGAATGTGTGAAACATGGGTATGTTCAAAGGCCTTGCTCCAGTTCCCACCTAAACCCTAAATGGCCAGAATGACCCTCAGATCCCTAAGAATTCTGTACCCTGGGAAGGCTAGGCTGTGTCCGTTAGGGACTCAGCAAATCCTCAAAGGTATTACGTTAGCATATGGTGTGTGGCCATTAGGAGGAGGGGCCCATGATGGCCCAGGGACAGGGAAGGAGAAACTTGGTAGCTAGACTCTCCCTTGCTCCCTGTGGCTTCTCAGGAAAATGAGGAGTCTCTTGCACATTTAGGCTGTTTTAGTGGTCTGGAGTCCTGGTGTGGTGTTATAGGATCAGCAACTTCTAACTGCAAGGTTGACCTTTCAAACCCACCAGCCACTCCTCAGAAATCCTATACAGGGTTCCTATGAGTCAGAACTGACTGGATGGCACTTAACAACAACAAACAATATGGGGTATCTGGGCAAAGAGTCATCACAGGAGAAACTCACAGCAAAAATGGAGAGGGGAGTTACTTTTGGTTTGAACACAGTATAAGTGAGAAGCTGTTTCATACAGTTTTTAAATGAAAAATGAAGCTGACTCCAATTTCTGCCATTTTGCTTGCACAGATTCTTAATACAGTGGGTCTTACTTTGCTTTGAAGGATTCGCTAGCGCGTTACAGTAGGCTTTGGGTAGTGGGATTTGAGACCCAGACCTTTGGATTTAGAAGCAATTTGCTTGCTTCGTAGTGTAGGATTTGGCTGTGAATTAACACAATCATTCATTCTTCACTGGAATGATGGCCTGAGCTCCATATAGCATCTGCCTTGCTTGCAAGGAATGGATTGCACCCTGCGTTCCCACATGGCTAAGTATCTGGTTGTGAATGACCAAGAGATCAAGACCTAGGTAGATGTCCACTGAGCTACAAAGTGAGCAGTCTCCAAGAGCAAAGCATAACCAATAGTTGTAACCTCTTTCTCTGGGCAGATGTTTGCATCTAACAACACAGCCCAGTCTATTTTTCTGGTATTATAATGCTGGGCCTTTCTTAGATGGCTTCCTTCCAACAGGCCAGGCAAATCCACCTGGGGCCAGGTTCTTAAGCAAGGCTGTCAGCAATGTGACTCCAGAAAATTTGAGGGGCTGATTCAGGGCAGGGACATAGGTAACATTTGATGGGTGCCCATTGCTACCCACTTCATCTTCTGGGGCCCCTGCTAGTAAGAAGAGCTCTGGAGGGGCTGCAATTAATGTGCTTAGTTGCTGCCCTACAGGCTCACTATAAATCAGAATTGACTCAAGGCAGTGGGGCTTGGGGTCTTAGTAAAAGGGAAGCTAAGGCTTTATAGTGTAGAGTCAGGGGAGGGAGCTGTTCATTTTCACTTACTTACTGAGTGCTTCCTGCCTCTCAGGCGTGGGCTTGATGCTCTACTCATGCCAGATCATTTCATCCACACCCTGGCTGAGATGTAAGGGTCAGGATTTCCAGTTGACTTCAGGCACCTCATCAGTTACTGAGAAGAAGTTACTGAGGGAAATGGGCTGCTCAAGTTGCTAGAGTTCTGCACCAGGAATTCAAATGCCAGCCTAACCCCAAGGCCTACACTTTTAACATTGCTTCCCAGTACTGCTGCTCTGGTCCTGGCTTCTAGGCTCCCAGACTAACCTGTCTTGCTTCTCCCTTTTGCTGCTGCCACCCCCTGAATCTCAGAAGAAGAAGACTGGAAAGAGGACGATGACGGTAGTATAGTTTTCCCTTTTGTTGTGCTTCCCACTGCCTGCTGTCCCCAGAGTCTGCATGTTGGTTGAGGTGGAAGTGTGTGGAGGGCAGGTGTGGGAATGGGTCAGCCATGTCCTCCTCAGACTCAGAGGGTGGTCCAGGACCCCAGGTCTGAGTTCTTTATCTTGTCTCTCCTTTAGGGCCACTGACTCCGCTTTCCTGGTCCCTGTTCTTTTCCCTGGGTCATGGGAGAGGCCATCAAGTCCCAGGGCCATAAGGGTGCTCTGAGAGAAACAATGCCTCCTTTTCAAGGTCCAAGTCCTCTCTGGGGTGCTGCCTCTTAGACCCTTGTAGCAGCCTTACCTCAAAATAGAACCTTCCAGAAGAATGAGAATAGAGAGCTAGCCAGCAAGGATATGGCTAGCTGTGCGGTCCTCCTTTGGTTCATGCTGTTACGACCTCTTTCCACACCTCTGATGTTCCCATTCTCTCTACAATACACCCCACCCATCTGCTTGAATTCTCCCACGACGGGGAGCTCACTACCCCTCAAGGCCGCCCTCTGCATCTTCAGACACTGCTGATGTCAGACAATCAGTCATCACACTGGCTCTCATCCTAGCATGTGGGCTGAGTCAGGGGGTGAGAAAGGCCTAGCTTGCTTGTCTGCAAATGTGGCCACAGAGGAGAACTAACGTCTTGAACATGTGATCCTGTTCTTCCCCCATTCCACACAGCAGTGTTGGGTGCTGGGACTCTTCCTATGAGCTGGGCAGTGCATAGGCATGGTGGCCGGGGGCAAAGAGCCTGGGGACAAAGTCATCTGAAGAACAGCCAGAGTCAGTCAACACAGAGGGACACGGTGACAGCCTTCAGAGTACATCAGCTGTTGAGGGTGACGGAACTGGACTTGTTCCCAGTCCCCAGGGCTAGGACTAGGGCCAGGAGTGATAGCAGACAGATTTGGGTTTAATTTACGATGAGCTTTCTAACAGTGGTGTCTGAAGATGCAGTAGGTGGCTTTGGAGGTAGTGAGCTCCCCATTGTGGGAGTACTCAAGCAGATGGGTGCAGTGTGTGGTACAGAAAATGGAGATATCAGAAGAGTGTAGAGAGGTTGCAGCAACATGGCCCACGGCTAGTCATATCCTAGCTGGCTAGGCTAGTCTCTACTCTTATTCTTCTGGAAGGTTCTTTTCTACAGGGGTCTAAGAGGCAGCACCTCAGAGAGGACAAGGAATACAGATGGTGCAGGCCATTGTTTCTCCCAAAGCACACACATGGCCCAGGGCTTGACCTCTCCCTCCACCCTGACTCTGTTTCTTTCTTTGCCTAGAGGCTGCTACTTGTAAGTTAGTCAGTCAGTCATCAGTCAGTGCGTGTTAATCAAACACTTCCTATAGGCAAAGCATTGTACCTGGCATCATTCTATCTGGCTGTCTGTCTACTTCAAAAGCCTGACTATGGTGGGGTCCAACCCTGTCATCGCAAATGGAAGAAAACAGAAAAAATCTTGACCATTCTTCAGAGTACAAAAATCTCAATGCTGGGCATCTCTTCCACCCACATAGTCTCGCTGGTTTGCTTTCTTTGGATACAGATGAAGGGTCTCTAGACTTGGAGAGTCCCTAGGAACAGGGAAGGAGCATCCCTGACAACTCACCTCAAGGAAGGCACATTCTGTGAAATTCTGGGGTGGAAAGGTGGGGAATGGGTGGGGTTGCATCTCAGTGAGGTTGTTGGGGGCAAGGAACCACACTGGTCAGGTCAACTGCCTGAGTAATGTGTCTTGTTGGACCCATCCTTCTCTGATGCTTGTCACAACACACACTACACCTTAACTCACTCCTACCCCAGACTTCTGACCCTCCCAGTATTCTCTGGGTACAGAAAATACTAGAAAGGCCCAATTCTGATCCCCCACAAAGCCAGAGAAGAATGATTAGAACACTCATGTCCTTCTGTTCAATGTGGTTCAGAGGCCAGCAAACATTTTCTGTAAAGGGATTGATAATATATATTTTAGGCTTTGTGGGCCACAAGGTCTCTGTTGAAACTACTATGCAATTGTAACACAAAAGCATTCATAGACAGGACATAAATGAAGGGCTGTGTTCCAATACAATTTTACACACAGAAATAGGCTGGGGGTCAGATTTGTCCCTTGACCTGTAATTTACTGACCTTGGGTTTAAAGCTAGACTCAAGCAGTTTCCTGTTATTCATACCAGTTGTCCCAAAACTCATGGGGACCTGGATATCAGGGGCCCTCATGATCTCCTACATCTTCTCTGTTCTGAGTTCTGCCTCATAGTGTAAGAAACGGGGACCTGGTTATTCATGAGTCTGGTTCCCTTTTCCAGAGTTGGAGGAGGCAGTAGAAGAAGAGGCTGAAGGAGAGGCTGAAGCTGAGGCTGAGGAGGAGAGCGAGGAGACCAAGGCAGAAGGTAAGGCGAGCTCACAAAGTCATGTCTATGGAAGTCAGAAAGCTACCTGGAATATGCTTTCAATCTCCTGGGTGTAATGTGGGCATAAAATAACATGCTGCATGTTAAAGAACTCTGTGTATTCTTTGTGTAAGCTCTGTGTACCTCTGCCTTGTAGCTTTGCTCCTCCTGTCTCAGACCTGGTCTTGGCTAGATTCAATAGTCAATTGTTCAATCAACAAACATTTACTAACTACTGCTTTTGTGTCAAGCTGTCTTGAGCCTAAGAGCATACTAGGAGAATAAGACATGCATGCTCCTTGGCCCCATAACCAGCAGGGTTCATTTGGGTTAGAACCTATTTGTGGAGAAGGCTTGTGCTAGGGTAAGGAAGGACCTTGATAGATTTCTCATTTTTGGTTTAGAAGATGGACTAGAAGAGGAGACTAAAGAGACTGAAGGTAAGGGCTGTTGGCCTTCAGGAGAGAATTCCAGGTGGTAAGGAAGCCCTTCTCAGCAGCTTTGGGGGATGATTGCCTGCAGGGTTGCTTCTAGGGAGGTGGAAAGGAGGTGAGTGAAACACATCCTGGGAATGGACAGGACAGGACTTGGTGGTAGCTGTGCACTTTGGATGTTGAATTCCATACAGCTGCCCTCTTTGTCCCAGAGATGCTGCCTTGATGGTTTCCCAAGGGAAAGAGGACCATGTTCATCTCCCAGGTCACTCACACACAAGGTTCCCAGGGCTCTGTGAAGTCATGTGTAAGGTGTGTGGTACCAACACACAAGGTTCCCAGGGCTCTGTGAAGTCATGTGTAAGGTGTGTGGTACCATTAGGACAAATCCAAAGATATGTGGGAGATGGTCCTGGGGATCATGATGCTGCAGCCTGCACAGGGTTGCAGATGGCCGAGCCACACCTTCAGAGTGATGACAATTATGCCAACCTGCTTCCTTGCTCTGTGGTCACCAGAAGTCTAGGAGGTGACCAAGGAGGCAAAGATGTGGGAGAGGACTCTGGGGCCAAGACTCCCAGAGACCCTTCCACAGAAACCCAAAGCTCTAAGCAATGCTTCCTCCCTCGTTACCGCTAAATGCTAGAAAGCTGTGACCTACCACATTGAGAGTGGGGTTCAGCCATCCCTGGAGACATGCACTGGGAGCTGCTATGGGATGCCAAGTGTGGGGTATAATCCCTGTCTTCATTCCTGAGGATGTCCCTGGGACCCCAGGGTGCAGGGGGGGAGCTGAGGCCCACAGGCGTCCAGGGGTCTCCTGACCCTGTGGGTGTGTTCTTCTCTCTCCTCCAGATGGCCCAGTGGAGGAGTCCAAACCCAAGCCCAGGTGAGCGTAGCACATCTGTGCGAGGCCCTGGGTGTGGAGGGCCAGAGTGGAAGGATGATGAGAATGGGGCAGGAGTGGGCCTGGGCGGGGATGCAGCAGGCTGTGTTCTGCACAAGGGTCACTTCAGAGGTCACAGGGAGGGGATAGGAGTCTTAGATTCCATTCATTTGTGAGACCTCAGGGCAGCTGGTGTTGGGAGGGCTAGAGGACAATACTAAACCCACCAGTAGGTGGCGCCTCAGCACACTCCCAGTTCAGTGGGGCCGACAGAAAGCAGACACCAAACGCAAATCCAAACTCCTTGCCGTTGAGTTCATTCCGACTCATAGTGATCCTGTAGGGCAGAGTAGAACTGCTCCATAGCCTTTCCAAGGCTGTAAACTTTAGGGAAGCAGATTGCCTTATCTTTGTCAAAGAGCAGTTTGTGGGATCAAACTGCAGAACTTTTGGTTTGCAGTCAAATGCTTAACCACAGTGTCACTTAGGGCTCCTTACAAACCCAGCCGCAGCCCAAACCGAAGCCTATTCCCTTTTTCATTCATTTGTCCAGTACCTTTCCTGGTCACTTGTAGCACACTGCAGCCATGTATTTCAGCCTTCTCACAACCCCACACAGATCTGAGAGTAGTCAGAAAAAGTGAGAACCAGAGAGACCCACCTAGGTGTGGTGTCGCACAGTAAGGATAACTTGGGCCGGGACCAAACCGTAGGACTCCTGGGCTCATGGGGAGATTCTTGGGGTCAGCTACAGGGGCTTGGAGTCAGACGAACTTGTACTCATCATAGCTTCTGTGCTTCCTCGTTGTGTGGCTTTGAGCCTCTGTGTTCTCAAAATGAGATTGATGATATACTAATCTGTGTGGATGTTGTTGTTAAGTGCCTTTGAGTTGGTTCCGACCCATAGTGACCCTGTATAGGGTTTCCTAGGAGCAGCTGGTGAGTTTAAACTGCCCACCTTGCAGTTCAAACGGCTTTGCAATCTGGCTTATTAGCCCACAGCGCCACATAGTGGGTATAAAATGAAATGATGTATGTGAAAGAGTGTTGTGTTTTCCTAGATGCTGAACAAGTATGAGGACTGTCACTATGGGGTGTTGTTATTATGGCCTCACTGAGAAAGAAGGATCTTGCCTGCCCCAGGCACTCACACTCCCTCAAGCCCACAGTGGGGCTGATACTCACTGACTTCTCATTCCTCTAACAGGCCATTCATGCCCAACTTGGTGCCCCCCAAGATCCCTGACGGAGAGAGGGTGGACTTTGATGTGAGTGTTGGTTTTGAGGAGGGCAGGCCTGAAATGGTGGCAGTCACAAAGACCCCTAACAAGACCTGATAGGTTTGTGTGGGCAGATCGGATGGTGCCTGGAAGAGCCAGATTGGGTGCCGGCCCCTGAGCAGTATCCTGGGTTCAGGCCACAGTTCCCTGACCTGGCTAGGCCCAGCCTCTGCTAGAGGTCTTTTAGATTGAGCAGGGGGTCTCTCCTGGACTTGGATGTGACAGCCTCTGATCTCTGGTGTTCCACCCACAGGACATCCACCGGAAGCGCATGGAGAAGGACCTGAACGAGCTGCAGACGCTGATTGAGGCTCACTTTGAGAACAGGAAGAAGGAGGAGGAAGAACTGGTTTCCCTCAAAGACAGGATTGTAGGTGTCCCACCTCCCAGCACAAAGAGCTCCCTTTCCTCAGGCCCACCTCCTCCAGGCAGTCATTTCTCTCCCTCAGGATCCCCAGAGTGCTTTGAGCTTCTCGAAGCACTGCCCCACACCATGGTTCTCAGGGCTCTGCCTTCTCTCCCTGCCAGACTGGACACTCCTTGATGGCAGGCACTGAGTCTGATTCATCACTGGGGCCCCTGTCCAGACCCTGGCTATGGAATGGCCAGTCACAGAGGCCTGTGTTTCTCCCACCCCGAACCTTCCCATACAGTACAGCTCTCCACACGAATGAAAGGACGATGCCTGTGAAACCCCAAGTCATTTCAAAGGGGGAGGGTGTGACATGGTGGTCACTTTATTCCTATTATTTTCTTCTTCACCAAATTTGCCTTTCTACAGAGACACCACTCTGGCTGGCAGCTGATGATAGGCTATCTTTGAGCACAGGGCAGCTGCTGGGGCTGGACTGTGGGGGAGCAGGTGTGGGAGACAGGAGTAACCTGCATGCCATTTTTCAAATGATTTCAGAATCACTATGAATAATGTAGGATGTGGGTTATACTCACATGTCCTAGAGCAGATCACCCCTATTTAAGCAAAGACCCATCTGTGTAGTGGGTGCCCCTGCCTATGCCCACGGAGCTGGCTGGGAGTGGAGAACGGGAGCCTTGACTGACTGTCTGTGTGAGTAACCTCCTCTCTGAGGCTCCCCTTTGCCCCTATAATTCTGATGATGGTCTCCCCCACGTGTTTGAACTCCCCCCCATAGGAGAAGCGGCGGGCAGAGCGGGCTGAGCAGCAGCGCATCCGGAGTGAGCGGGAGAAGGAACGTCAGACACGCCTGGCTGTGAGTGACCCCTGGCATGCCCCCAGCTCTGTGCTGGTCCATGGAGACCTCTGAAGTCCCCCAACCCTTGCTCTACTCACAGATACTTTTTCAGTCAAGATACAAGCATCTATTCAGCGCTGGCCATTGCTCTGGCTCTGACAGTATATAGGTTAACAAGGCAGTGTCTGCTTTCTTATAAACTTAGCATTTTAAAGACTCTCAACCCTCAGTCTTTTCCCAGACCCAGCTATCCAGGAACCCTGGGTGCCCTCGCCTCTTCCTAAGGCCCTTCCCAAGCAACACACTTTCTTGGGGGAATCCCAGCCTGAGAGGATGGTAATACCTCACACTTTGGGGATCAGAACCTCACTTATTCATTCAGTAAACAACATCTTGTGCCCTTGAAAAGCTCCTTGCTGAGTGGAGGAAAAACTTAGCCTTCGGAATCAGGATTTGCTGCCCACCAACCCCAATGCACTCTCTTCTTCCTCTTCCCCACAAATCAGGAAGAGAGAACCCGGCGAGAGGAGGAAGAAAACAGGAGAAAGGCTGAGGATGAGGCCAGGAAGAAGAAGGCTTTGTCCAACATGATGCATTTTGGAGGATATATTCAGAAGGTAGGCAAGGATGAAGCAATGATCACCAGGAAGTCCTGGTAGATATGCGAGGAATGAGGTGCCCATTAAAGCAAACAGATTTTAGACTGGATTCCCAACTGTTGTGGGTCAGAGGCTGAGGGCTCTTCCTGCCCAACATCAGAGCTGACTTTCAGCCTGACTGTGATATCCACTAGGGGCGCCTGCTGGGGTATGGGCTGCAGCCAGAGGCTGGTATACCAAATGTTTCACCTCAACTTGGGCTCCAGCCAGACCCAGGAATTCCAAGGTGCCCAAATGCAGCTGGAAGAGTCCTGTGACTAGAGTCAGAGCTCTGGTTGGAGACTTGACCGCTTTGAACCTCAGTTTCTTCATCTGTGAATTTGGATTAATATTGCTTGCCCTGCCTACTTTGAGAAGAGCAAATGAACTACACGAAAAGCACCAAGGTGCTACACAGATGTGAGGTGGTGTTTATTCCTCAGAAATTACTCTTAACTCTTAATTTGTGTGGCCTACTCCTGCCAGATATTCCACACTAAAGGGAGGTTGTTGTTAAGTGCTGTTGAGTCAATTCTGACTCACAGGGACACTGTAGAGGGTTTCTGAGGAATGATTGGTGGGTTTGAACCTCTGAACTTGTGGACAGCAGCCCAATGCTTAACCTACAGTGCCACATCAGGACTCAAGGGAGGAAAGGGGTATATAAAACAGGTATCCTCTATCAATGAAGGGGCCAGAACATTTTCTTAGATTTCCAAAATCCCCAGGTCAGAACCAGGTGAGCCACCCTACCTCTGCCCCCACAGTGACCCTACCAGTCAAATCTTTTACATGGCCCTGCTACCAAATAGTCCCTACCCCAAACCCCTAGACTCCTGTCCTAATAAACAAGGCTGCCTACAGCGAGCATCTGAATCATCTTCTCCTTCTTCCCTCCTGTGACTCTTCTCACCTTTGTCTTCTGCCCTCTGTCTGCCCCCTCTCTGTGTCTCTGTTGCCGTCTCGGTCTTTCTCTCTGGGTCTTTCTATCATGGTTTCCTGGCTTTGCAGGCCCAGGTGGGTACCAAAACCTCAAACCCTCTTCCTCCCTGTAGTTTTGGGGGGATCATCCTGGGAGGGGAAGGCACTTGTTGGAGGGGAGGACTGTGGAGATTGGACTAGATGGGGAGGAAGGAGCCTGGGGAAAGATGGAAGAGACTGAAGAAGCAAAGGAGGAAGGGACGCTGTTCCTGCCTCAGTTTCTCTGGGGAATCTGGACAGTTGACAGTGTATACAGGGAGGTGGGGGTGTTGCAAGAACAAAGTTCTTATCCTGTTGGGTTTTGGGAGGACTGGGAGAATGAGGAAGGGGTGGTCTCCAACCAGTCCCCCCTGCTTGTGCCACCCCCTCCAGACAGAGCGAAAGAGTGGGAAGAGGCAGACAGAGCGGGAAAAGAAGAAGAAGATTCTGGCCGAGAGGAGGAAGGTGCTAGCCATCGACCATCTGAATGAAGATCAGCTAAGGTGGGCCCAGGAGGGGTGGTCTTTGGGTGCTGGGAGGTGTTAGGGCACAGGGCATGTTCTCATGGAACCAACAGTCATGCTACTGCCCTACACATTTCCCTGGGAACATTTAGAGTTGGGCTTGAGTTGTCTCCAGTTTGTGCTTTGTTAAGAGGGAAAATGAACTGAGTATCAACTTACCCCTCTGCACAGTGGTGGTGGGCAGGGGACTGAGTAGGAGCGCTCTGCTGTGTCTGCGGCTTGTCCCTTTGCCTTCCCATCTCCAGAACTTTGCCCTGGCAGGTCCTGGTGTCCATTCTTGGGCTCGGCACCTCCATCCAGCCGTGGGCTGCGCCAGGTCTTAGGGAGGGCTCAGGCATCTCTAGGATGAAGTCTGATGGGGGTCTCTTCTTTATCTCCCTTTCCTCACTTGTGCAGGGAGAAGGCCAAGGAACTGTGGCAGGGCATCTATAACTTGGAGGCCGAGAAGTTCGACCTGCAGGAGAAGTTCAAGCAGCAGAAATATGAAGTGAGCTGCAGTCTGCTGCTCCTCTGCCCCCACCCCCTTCCCGTGCTCTCCCAGCTCCTCCTGGTTTGATTGGGTCTCACACAACTGCCAATCATCCAGTCATTTCCCTTTCCCAGTTTCTCTTACCAGCCTTCAACTCACCTCCAGCCCGACAGTATTCAGTGCCCACCACTCAGGCCGGGCCGTGCTTGATGGGGCCCAGCAGAGACATTTTCCTAGGCCTCCATCCTCAGCTCCTACTCCCTCCTAGCCAGGTTTCCCTAGAGGCAGAGGCAGCAGCTCTGCTGCAATGAGCTGGTGGGAGGACTCTGATGCACAAAGCCCTGCACCTGGCGTAGAGTCAGCCCTTCACCAATGTGTGCATGGGCAGGCTGGCCTCAAGCTCTCAGCCTTGCAGGGTCTCAAGAGCATGAATGGGGGTCTCAGATGTGCAGACACAGTCAGGAAAAACACTGAGTTGATGTTGGTCCTGCACAACGGGCTCAGACTTGGGAGCCAGTCCTGCCTGCTGGGCCTCTCAGCCTAGCCACGGAGGGGTACACTCTGTCTCAAAGGGCCACTTAGCTGTTCCTACTTAACCTCCCCTCCCCCATCCAAGGGGGTCCTTCCCTGAGCCTAGCTCAGGCTCCCATGGCCACAGGGTGAGGCTGAGACAGGTGTTGATGCTGGTAAATGTTCTGGCTCTGCCACTTACTAGCTGTGGGACTTGTCCATGCCTTTGTTTTCTCACTGAAATCCCAAGATAACAAAAGGATCTAGCTCATAGGGTTATTGCGAGGATGAAACCAGTTGACCTCAACTCATGATGTCTTCATATGTGTCAGAGGAGAACTGGATCTATAAGGTTTCAAATCGTTGATATTTAGGAAGTACATCACCAAGGCCTTTCTTCTGAGGTTCATCTGTATGAACTCACACTTCAAATCTTTTGGTTAGCAGCTTCACAATGGCATGCCACCCAGAATCACTGTGAGGATTAGCGAGATGATAATAACAGAACATTGGCAACAGCTGTAACAATAACAGTGATGATAGCCAATGTGTTGTACTCAGGCTCTGAGTACTTCACGTGTACTAACTTGCTAACTAGCACTACAGTCCTTGTTGTCATGTGACTTTAAGTCTATACAAGGTTTCAAGAATGGCTGGTGGGTTTGAACTGCCAACTTTAGGTTAGCAGTCCAGTGATTATATACCAAGGCTTGCACTACAATCTATGGGTTAATATCTGGGAAAGTGCTTAGAACAGAGCCCAGGATGCATGAAGTGCTCCACAGGTGTGAACTGTTGTCTGATTATGTGCCGTCCACCTGCCCACCAGCTCCACGCTTTGCTCTGCTCCTGGCCTAGGGTGCTGTGTGCTGAAGGTGTGGTGCAGAAGCAGGCTGCGCCTTGAAGGGTCAAGCTTTGGGCACCAGGTGGATGTGGTCTCAGGCTGGGCTGGAACACACATCCAGTTACCCAGCCTTGCATGACCCCAACTCTCAGGAGGCCCACCTTATGGGACCCTCATTCTGAGCTTGCTACGGCCCTGGGACCTTACAGTGATAGGCCAACGAGGCAGCCAAGATGCCTCTCCTTGGCTCCTGTTTCCAAGTCCCTGGACTCCTCTTGATTGTTCCAGCATCATAATAGTCCCCTTGCTCTCCCTCTCCCTCCTCCTCTGTTGCTATACTGTACCCTTTTCTCCCCCACCCCAGCCAGCTCAGAGCTGGGCCCAATGACCTCCAACCTTGTCCTCTTCATTCCCACTTTTTTACAGATCAATGTTCTCCGAAACAGGATTAACGATAACCAGAAAGTGTAAGCATTTGAGTCCAGCCCTTCCTTACCTACCCCACCCTCCCTTTCTGGTCATCCCCTAGTTCCTCTGAGTCCTGTGAGCTCTCCTTCGGTTCACAGCCCTCCCTGAGCCTCCTTTTCTCCCCCGCGTGCTGCTTACCAGTGGGAAATGGGGTACAGAGTATGAAGCAGCTGCCCTGTTCTGCGCCTGGCTGCTCCTAGCAGCCCTCACTACAAGGATCTGCTACTCTGCCATATGTCCCCCATCTGAGTGGGTCTTCTTCTCCCACAGCTCCAAGACCCGAGGGAAAGCCAAAGTCACTGGACGCTGGAAGTAGAGATGACAGCCCCTTAGAGGCCATGCCTCCTTCACCAAGAGCTTGATCCTCACTGTGTCTCCCCGCTGCATGTCCCCAGCACCTGGGAACCACAGGCAGAATTCTGTCTGGAAACCAGAAGCTGCCCAAGCTAGAAGCTGCCACTCATGCCTGACCCCATTGCCCATAATAAAGAGCTACCACACAACACATATCTTTCTGTCACTTCCCCTGCAAAGGGAGGGAGGCTGAGGGGAGATCCTGGTCTTCCAGGGTATCAGGTGGTTGTAAGAGCCACAGGAAGGAACACATCTTGTGCCTATAAGAATCAGAGGGGTGCTGGTCGACCTGCTCCCACCCACCTGTCCCCAGCACCCACAGCAGAGGGAGCGCTGTGGCCCCGTCCTGATCCTGCCTCCTCCTTCCTCTCCCAGCTAAGTCCTGGTTGCCACTCTGCTTCAGCACATGTGGACTCACACTTTCTCACAGGATAGGAGGGAGGCACAGACAGCTAAAAGGGCTTATGATTTGACCTGCTGTGAGTCACCAAGAACAGGCATTGGGGAAGCAAGTGGGGACAGCGTGTTCTCTGAATGAGTCACTCCTAGGAAAACAATGGAAGTCTCTTTGGGCCTCACTGTTTTCTTTCAGCTCCTGGCCAGGTCACCAAGAATAAGGCGTCTGAGGGGCAGAGAGCCCTGGAGGAAGGGAGAAGGGCCAGTTTCAGCAGACAGCTTCTCAGGCCTGAGATGTAGAGAGATGCCTTCTTGTCTGTGGTCTGCAAGTCCTCTGGAGCTTACACCACCAAACAGGGACAACAGAGTCCTTGAGCAGAGGAGGACGGCATGGTGGCATTCATTCCAGTTGGCAGAAGACACAGAAACACTGTGGAGTGAGAGATTCCACTTTCTAGAGTCAATTCCTGACACAGGGCATGTTCTCTTATGCCACCAAGCTGTTCCCTCTGCCTGGAATGTCTTTCTCCACTCCCCATGTCATCCATCCATCCATCCATCCATCCATCCATCCATCCATCCATCCATCCATCCATCTAAACAGCTTGTCCTAGGTCTCTAGTGCTGCTGTAACACAAATACCACAAGTGGATGATGACGTTAACAACCAAAAATATATTCTCTTGGTTTAGGAGGCTGGAAGTCCAAATTCAGAGTGCCAGCTCTGGGGGAATGCTTTCTCTTTGTTGACTCTAGGGGAAGGTCTGTGCCTCTCCCTTCAACCTTTTGTGAGTCCAGTGTTCCTTGGTGATCTCTTCTTCTTGGCATCAGTCTTCCTCTAGGTCTATAAGGTTCTCAGCACAGGCACCTTGCTGTTCATTCTCTGCTCACTTCTCTCTAATTTTATCTCTTATAAAAGGTGGGCCACACTTTAGGGAAACCCCTTACGTCAGATCAGGGCTGTGACTGGCATAAGGATGTTGTTGCATTTCACCTGAACCGATTGATCACGTCATAGGAAATGATGACATCATTACATAACTGTCAGATCTCATCATGAGCTAACTGCCAAACCATAGCGAATTATGGCCCAGCCAACTTGATACATATTTTGAGGAGACACAATTTATGACCGAATGATCACTGCCTCTGAGGAGACTTCCCATCACCCTCCAGGCAGAGTGAATTCATCTCTGTGTTTATGGAGCTCACAACCCAGTGGGGGAGACACAGAGAAATATCAGGAGATTTCATCTCAGACAAGCAGGGAAGGCACAGGGTGCTGGGAAGCAGCGACAGTGGTCTCCCCAGCTGGCCTTAGCAAATAGGAGGGTTTTCTGTACATAAGGATGTCTACACCAAGTCCCAGAGGGAGAGGAAGAGAGAGTCCAGGAGAAAGGGTCAGAAGTGGGAAGGAACAGCAAGTACAAAGTCTTAGGAACAAGAGCCAGCCTGGTGTGTGTGAAGAGCCAGTTATTAATAGAATCCAAGTATCTTCTGGTGGGGAACTAGAAGGCCCCTCTGTAGGCAGGGTGCAGGGCCTCAGGCCTAAGGAAGGCTGTCACCATTGGCTCTGGGAAATGCACCACCCACTCCCACTCTTTCCAGTTTGCCAGGTAAGATGGTTTTGTCGAAGCTCCATGACAATGGTGCCAGCCCCTCTTGCCGTGATGGGGCAGGCACTGCAGCACCCTCCAGCCCCTGCCACCTTGGTGGAGTTGAGAAATAGAAACAGTTAGAGAAACAGATGCACAAGTCCAGAACTAGGATCCCAGAGTTTTCCACCCTTCATCAATTCCCCATGAGGCTCCGCTTCTCTGACCTCAGAGTCTCCTTGGAGCAATTGGAGGTCATGTTGGCCCCGTCCTGATCCTGCCTCCTCCTTCCTCTCCCAGCTAAGTCCTGGTTGCCACTCTGCTTCAGCACATGTGGACTCTCCTTTAAAAAGATACCCTGAGGTGGGCACCTCATGCCACCTGATTCTGGGCCTTCCCTGAAACCAGGTCCCACTTCATCTTTCTTCTAAGGTGAGGAAAGATCTTTTAAGTGCTCCAGCCAGTATCCCCAAGCAGGTCCTGAGAATCCAGCTCCCCATCCCAGCATCTTAAGAGGAACAGCACAGGGTAATCTGAATGCTGCCTGGAGTCAGGAGATCCACAGATTCTCTGCATGGAGGGGCCCTGTCCTCTCCCACTCACCAGGACGTGTGAGTGCCAGGGTGCCAGCACCTGGTGGACCTCAGCTCTTCTGATTGTTTAAAACATTAGAGGTACTTGGACACATGCACAGAAGCACTGCAGTGGATTCCCAAGTGACGAGGGGCTGAGAGGAAGCCTGGTGGTACAGTGGGTAAGGCATTCCACTGCTAACCAAAAGGCTGCAAGCCACCAGCTGGTCCAAGGGAGAAAGATGTGGCGGTCCGCTCCCGTAAAGACTTGGACATGCTATGAAGCAGCTTTACTCTGTCTTCTTAGGTCGTTAGGAGTTGGACTCAACTAGGCAGAACCTAGAAACCACAACAGTAACAAAAAGGCACTGAGAGCTGTACCCCTCTCCTCCCAAGTGAATTCACTCCTTCTGTCACTCATCTTGGATTCCTGGTGTGGCACTGTGGGTTTATGCGCTAGACTGCAAAGTCGGTTTGAACTGCAAGGTTGGCCGTTCAAACTCACTAGTCGCTCCTCGGAAACCCTATATAGTGTCAACTATGAGTTGGAATTGACTCGATAGCACTTAACAGCAACAGCCAAGAGATACCTAAGTTGGATTCCTGACCAGTGTACCTCATGCACATCACCACCTGTCAGTGGGGGCTTGTGTGTTGTTATGAAATTGGAGAGGTTTCAGCAGAGCTTCCAGACTAAGATGAACTAGGAAGACAGGCCTAGCTATCTACTGTTAGAATCTAATGCTGGAAGAAGTAAAGCCAGAATGTTCTTTAGAAAGCCAGGATGGTGACACTTTGTCTCTAATATTTCATACATATTATCAAGAAGGGCCAGCCCCTGGAGAAGGACATCATGCTAGGTAAAGTGGAGGGTTAGTGAAAAAGAAGACCCTCAATGAAATGGATTGGCACAGTGGCAGCAGCAATGGGCTCAAACATAACAATGACTGTGAAGATGGCTCAGGACCGGGCAGTGTTTCATCCTGTTGTGCATAGTGTCGTAATGAGTCAGAACCGACTCAATGGCACCTAACAACAATACTTCCAATAGCAAGTCCATTGTTGTTTAATTCCATCAAGTCAGTTCCAACTCATAGCAACCTTGTATAGGGTTTCCGAGGAGCTGCTGGTGAGTTTGAACTGCCGACCTTGTGATTCAAACCAACCTTGCAGCTTGGTGCTTATTCTACAATGCCACACTAGCCCATAGTTGTTGTTGTTGTTGTTAGGTGCCATCAAGTCGGTACTGACTCATAGCAACCTTATGCAGAGCAGAACGAAACACTGCCCGATCCTGGGCCAACCTCACTATTGTTGCCACGCTTGAGTCCTTCAATGCTGCCACTTGGCCAATCCATCTCATTGGGGTCTTCCTCTTTTTCTCTGACCGTCCACCTTACCAAACATGATATCTTTCTCCAGCGACAGGTCCCTCCTGACAAAATGTCTGAAGTGTGAGAGACGAAGTTTGGCTATCCTGGCCTCCTATAATAAATGTTAGAACCAAAAAACCAAAAACAAATCCACTGCCATTGAGTCGATTCCAGCCCATAGGGACCCTATAGGACAGAGGAGGACTGCCCCGTAAGGTTTCAAGGGCTATAAATCCTTATGGAAGTAGACATTCTCTTGCAGAGCCAACTGGTGAGTTCAAACTGCTGAGCTTTTGGTTAGTAACCAAGTACTTTAACCATGGTGCCATCAGGGCTCCTTTATGATGTTAGCCTTCGTTACTGATATTTTACATTACCACTCCCTTAAGACCTCCAGTTCTGGGGACAGTGTTCACCAGTGCTGGTTGCGGCCCTCCCCTCCTTGAGTGTGGGATTTACAGAGGCCTCTCTTGCCTCTGGATTCCACGGCCAGACCTTGAACCAGACCAGAGACAGCCCTGATGGCTGCCCTTTGGGCTTTTTGGCCAGGTTGGTGCCACTGCCTGGATGGAGGTGGCAGAACTTGCTCCCAGGGCGGGTTCCTCTCTTGTCAGCGTCATTTCTGGAGAGGGTGGGGCCGGGCCTGAGCTTCCACGGGGACCCACCCTGAAAGGAGCCAGGGCTGGTTCTCCTCTGGGGTCTGGATAGGGGTTCTCAGATTGGTACAAGTTGAGAGTGGGGGGACAGGCTGGAGGAGCCAGGAGACCAGACTGGACTCTGTGTCCTCATAGTGTGGCAGTGGGCAGTGGTCATTCTGCCCTGCTATCCCTGCCAGTAGGAAGAGTGTGAAAGTGAGGGAAAGCTGCCTACAGGAGGCAAACTTACCCCTCCTCCTACACAGCAGACCCTCATGTGCTCTTCACTCTGCCCCCTCACCGGCCCCCATGTTAGGAGCCATGCTGGCTTCTTTACATATGTTCTCTCCTGCCAGCCACCCACGATCCCTAGGACACATGCCCATTGTTG